AAAGGAAAAATTACTACATTTGACTATGTTAACATTAAGAACTTCTTGTCATCAAATGTCACCATAAACAAAATGAAAAAGTAACTGACAAACTAGAAAAATGTATTTGAAATTCATACAACTACAAAGGAGTAGTATCCAGAATATGTAGAAACCCTGCAGATTAGTAAGAAAAAACTAAAAATTCTTTTTTTAAACAAAAGACATAAGCAAGTATCTTTTTATGACATGAATAGAAATCTTTTAAAAACATAAAATAAATAAAATAAAAATTGTCTAAAAATTTGTACCACTCAGATATATACAAATTTAGCCAGGAAAGATATTTGTCGGTTTTCACACTCTGAATGTAGACCACTTTTGCTTATCTATGTACATTTCTTTATACTTTTCCAGTGACTTCAATCCTCATGAAAATCTCATCCTAAAAATATTCTTAACATATTATTTAACTAGTAAGCAAAAATTGGTCTCATCTCAACTAGATTTTCAAGCACAGTTCTTGAAAAAAAATTAAAATTCTTCATCATGCTTAAGAAGCACCATATATATATATATACACACACACACACATATATATACACACACACACATATATATATACACATATTCACACATATGTATATATATGCAATAGCTGTGAAGGTGAATTTTATATGTTTAAACATTATAAACATTAGAATTTATTTTGAAAATTGGCTCATGGGGAATTTCTGATCCAGTAGGAATTATGGTACAAACTGTCCAGGGAATATCAACTAGAAATGGAGTATTTAACCATATCCCTCTTACTTCCCATTAGTCCAGAAATATCAAATATGTTACGCATGTCCTGCCTTTCCTCTCACACTCAATCCTTGGTGCGATCACCAACATTTAGCATCTTTTCCAGTGGGTTACTAATTTTCTATGCCAATTCTCCTCCCGAAGTGCTCCAGGCAGCCACTATCAATTCTTCAGAGTTGGCAAAATAAATGACACTTATTTGCCATCTCCGCTCCAGACCAAGAAGCATGATAAAATAGACATTTAAAATTTTACCTTTCGGGAACACTCTTTTCCTACAAATAACACAGACAATGTATTTTTCCTCATCCATGAGCACCTTATTTGCAATCTGAAGCACCAAACCCAGAATCAAATAGACTTGGAATGAACACTGGTGCACACACCATCTTCTAATGCTAGAAGAGCTTGTTTTTATAAAAGCCAATCTTATTTTTAGTCCTAGTCACTTTAGTCACTGTAACCAAAATTATGTAAACTTTCTAAATAGACTAAATATTCTAAAAATACAGTAAAACACCAACCTCCACACCAACCAAGTCACAATATGGGTGTCTGGCCTAAACCCACAAAATGAGAATGATGGGAAGGTCATTTATCAAACTGCAGTGACCATAACACACTCTCATCCCTGTATCAAAACAAGGCAATCAAATGGCTATTACTCAAAGTGATTCCATTATCTTTGGGAAAGCATCCCTGAACACCTGTAAATGCTTATCATATTAGACTTATGATTTAAATTCCGTGCTTATATCAATGTGCCTTTTGAACACTTTTCCATACTTTGGAAAATGATGGAACTATTTCCAAATTTGTTACTATGTTTTCAGAATTTCCTATGAAGAAATATGAATGTGGGCTGTGGAAAAAGAATTTGTCCCAGTCTATTTGTTACCACTTATAGTACAGCCTTGGGTACTTAGATTCCTAAATGAATGCTTTGACCATTAGGAAGAATTGTGAAGATAAGTACCTCAAACATTATGACTTTCTCATCTCCTCTTGTAGCCTTGGCTAATGGAGGTCCCACTACCGATGCCTTTAAATTACTGAGGCATATTTGGTAAAACAGAGAAATGTGTTTTCCCTTTTGTTGTCACTTGCTGTTGGAAAAGCAGCAAAGCCAAGCTGCTGCCTTACACCTGCTACATCACTGTATTTACTGTAAAATATTTCAGTTAGGACGACACGATGTGTGTATATAAGTTATCTTCTGTCTACAATCTACAGAAGTTCGTTAACATTTGAGGTTTCCTAACCTTGAATTCACACTCCAGAAAGTTAGCCTTTGAGAGACCCTATCAGGTTTCCATGCTCTAGAAGCAAATTTAAAAGGTACTTTAAATTGCAAGGTCTGAATCTCCACTATTGCATGTGTTGATTAGAAATGTTTTCATTGGTGAAATGAGTGGTGATTAAGACATGTGATTAGCAAGGAAGATTAGTGTGGATACCTCCACCCTTTCAAAAACAGGGTAAAAGAATTTGGTGAGCCCAACATTCTAACACTTTTGCAGCAAATAAAGCCTTATGACTAAACTCCACATCCCACTACAGCCCCAGCCTTTCACTGTAACCACTTAATGGAGGATTTTTGTCATTTTTACTGATTGAAAAACAAATGATCTTGGTGCTGCCCATTTTTTTCTTGCATTTCCCTTGCAATAAACTTTAAAGCAAGGTGCTCTCAGAGTATACTAAGGGTAGAGAGTAAAATTATTGCAGCATTGTTTAAAGCGTGAAAAAATAAAGTGTAAACAAGATGAATGCTGATCAAATGGAAAATGGTCACGTAAATTACTCATGGAATATTATGCAATATTACCAACTATTATTAAAGAATAATTAAGCTATGTAAAGTGACTTGGGACATGGAGGTATTCTAAAATGTGTTGAATGGGGAAAATGATGTGTGAGGAAGATATTTAATATTCCATTTTTATAAAGTAAACAATGACAAAAAGTGTATAGTGTATGCATGTGCGTATGTACATAAAATTATGAAAGGATATATAAAATGGGGCATGGAATGAGAGAGACGAGTGGGGTGGGAAAGTAAGGCAAGCAGAATATAAAAGCTGGGAAAAGACTACAATAAAGAATTTATAATGTGAAATTTTATTTGTATAAAGTGATATGTGCATATGTATGCTCACAGAAAGTGGAAGAACAGGGTGCCTCTCTACCAGTGACTTATAGGGATGTTCATAGTATATTAAATAGAAAAAGATAAGTATGTTGTAATGAGTATCTTATGATCCTATTTCAGGATAAAGGGAATAAACCACACCTCTACGCAGATACATTTATGGCCACATATGTTTGTATGAGCAAAAAAATGATACACAATTAGACCTCTAGGGTCTGATCTTGGGGTGGGGTGGATTTATAGGATGTGGGTTGCTGGGGTGTGTGCTTTTTAGCTTTGCCCATTTTTGAATTGCATTGTATTGATTTGCATATTACCACACAAATGCATTACTTCTGAAATTTGAAAACATGCAAATTACAGACTGTGGATATCTGAACAGTTTTCTAACATCGTTGAAATGAAAAAAAATTTCTTAAATACGCTTATTTATTTAAAGAATTTATTTTAAACCATTAACTTCACTAAATTCACCAATGTACTGAATCCTTATTGGAAATCCTTAACTTAGCTCCCTATTTTGGCCCAAGAGTGCTTAAAATTAATTCATTTGTAGTACTAAAATTCTTAAGCAACTACTGGACTAAAGCCGTCAAAGTTAAATCATGGTCATTGTCATTTAATCATGTTTATTGTCATTTTTGCATGGGAGTAACACTTCCGGTTTTTGAGTGCTGATTCATGAAAACTATCAAAAATTAGCATTTATGGAGCTGTTACTATATGCCATGCATTACCCTTTTTTGGGGGAGCTATAATTTACATACAGTAAAATTTCCCGTTTTAAGTGTATTCTAACCATAAGAGTCCTCCAAGAAACAAATGCCAAGATGGGAATAAACATGCATTACATTGGCAAGTGTTTGCTTGTTTGATTGATTTTAGTTATTGTAATAGGAGTTTAGTTGTTTCCCACTGATATCTTTTACACAGAATTATATAAACAACCCTATACCACAGGTGGAATCTGTAGAACAAATTTATTTTAAATAGCTTGCCCATGGCAACTCAGAGCTGTCTGATCTTTAAAATGGTGCCTGTAGCCACTCGTGACCTATTGTCGCCAAGATCCTGAGTCTTCCTTAAGTGACAGTTGGTTGTGCATGTGGTTACTCAGAGGCAATGGGGCACGCAATATATTTCCTGGTTCTTTCCTCAGTTCAAGGAGGTGATCAATATCACAAAAAGTTTTGAAACTTTTTTCAGGCTTATCTTTGGATAGTGGGACTATCCAAAGAAAATATGGAAAAGTAGAAAACAGAGATGAAAAGTCAACCAGACTCTATTCAGTCAGCACTTAAGTTTAAGTTGCAGTTGAGGGAAGACAATTATTGAACGACAATGTCAATAGTAAGCTGTGTGAGGCTACTGTAAAATGAGTTAAGTTTATTTACATAAATTTTCTCTGATGTGCTTTGTATGTAGCGATGACACATCAGTAAAAATCAATTTTTGTTTTTTTAGGACTATAGCATAAAATGCAGAAGAAATAAGATCATGTAACAATGTTCAATCTTCCATCTTTATGATTCAGTTTTTTGTAAAATTAGTGGAATGATTCTACTGAAAACTAGCATTATTAATCATATGACTTCTAAAGAATTCATTTGATAGAAGGTGGTATGGAAGGGAAATTAAACAAAACCTTTGTGGGGTTTTCTTTGATGGTGTTTTGGTCTTTTATTTTTGGCAGGGGTTAGAGTGCTGTTAGGGAAAGTGAGAAATGGTAGAGAAATGGAATTGTGTGATTTAGGGATAAATAACTGAGTAACATGGCCCCAGTGAGACATCGGGTTGGGGTTGGAGGGTAGGTTTGAGAGAACGTGAACTGCAAGCTAGTTCATTTTTGTTTTCTGTATTTTTTGCTTTTTTAATCTAGGGTTACATTTATCCTTGCAGAAGATTATCAATAGAATACAGAGACAAAGAACACAGAAACTAGTCTTTATTCCAGACCCCTTGTGTGTGTGTATGTGTAAACTGGCAAGCTATAAGCTCTAATGAGCTTAGAAAAAGCATACCAGCTCCCATCTAACCAGAGCATCAATGTTTATCTACCTCTCCCATAATTAAAATCACATGTCTGACCACAAGCAATGGGTGAGGCTTTGCTTACCTTAATAACTGCATGTAACCCATTGGGCCACTAAGTGCCACTGGCTCTGTGAATTGAATCAGCAGGGAGAAAGAAAAGTGTCAGCATCGGAATCCACTTTAGGCATTTAAGCTGATTCCACAACTTATAAAACCATTCATATAAACAAATTCCAACTTCAGATATTTTTCTCCTCACCTCAGGTCCATCAAATTGTAAGTTAACTACTAATTCTGGTTGACTGAATAACTCAACAGACCAAAAATGTGTAATCATTTGCTTAAGGTGCAAATGATTTGCAAATTTCACCTAGATGTTTTTATTCATGTCATAGGAAATTATGTATATTACCATTATTCAACATTTAAAAATCAGCCACTTTCTAAATAGTTTGAAATGTCAAGTCAAATCTAAATTCTCTATATTTTAAATTTAATTAAAATTGCACTAAGAATAGCAAAATAGGATGAAATTATTCAGAGCTAACTTAGACTATTGAAAGGAGATTGTAAATCTCAACCATTTCCAATAGGTTCAAAATCAGAAGTTAATTTTATTTCTTAAATGAACCAAATTCTTTTTGTTTAAATGTCAATCTATTGTTCATAGAATTACAAACTTACTGTATTCTAGAAAAGACTTAAAGAATTGACACAAACAGTTAAAAATAAATCATTGGTAAAATACAAAATGTATGCATTCTAGATAAGTGATTCCATTCAATTATACATTTAATTGAGATATGTTAGATTCCCAAACATAAGTTTAATTTTTTCTTCCCAAGTTTGGTCAACTTTGACTTAACAAGAACTGCATGCCTGCCTGGTTCTACCTTTTCTCTCTACTGGAATAGATAGATATCATGTTAATGAAATTTTAGTATTTGTTTTAATTTTATAACACACTCTATTTTACAATATCTTTTGTCTGTATGCATCAAGCATGGGCACTATTTGCAGACCTTAATTCTTGTCTAAGTAGATGGAAGAATTTCTTCAGAGGCATCTGGTGTATGGTAACAAGACTATGAACAATTTGATAAATGTACATCAAAAGGCTGCAAGACATTTACCCATGTAAATCCAAGAAAACACAAAGCAATGCTAGGAGGAAGAGAAATGTAGAGAATAAATAAACTGAAACCAGCTTATGTAGAAATAATAAGTGACTTTATTGAAGTGGTTTGTGTCTCAACCTATCTTAAAGAGGAAACTATTTAGAATGATCATATATGATGCCAGCCTTCTTATGAAAGTTAGTGAAGCCAGCTGATGAATTTGTAGAAAAAGGTTTAGCTTTTTCTTTTTTCCTGTACTACATGATCTATACTTGTAAATGGTGTGACCTGATTTTCAGGGATTGGGGTCTGCACTGTAACTTCATCAGTTCATTATTAATTACATTTTGTCAAGATAAAAAAAAGCTTAATATGATTCCAAAAGTAAACCATTCATTTTGGTATGTCACTGAGATTTTAAATTAAACTAGAATAGAAGCTTCTGTTTTATAAATAAAATAAAATAGTTAATATAAGAACAGTAGTTTTAACATCACAGATACACTTTTAGAATCAGAATCTGATGAAGTGTCCTTTCTTTCCCAGGAAAAAAATGCATATTCAAACTAAATTTTGTATACAATTTCTCTGCAAGCTTGTCTTTGACATCAAAGTTTAAAACTTTTGAAGTAAAAGTTGGGACCAAGTTAAAGAATACATGCATGCAATAAGGACCACTGTATAATTATGTTTATTATTGCAAGACTGAGCACAATTTGGCTCAGATCCTTAGGATGCAGGGGAAAATAGAAACCGTATTTATGATGATTCTCATCAAGAAAATGAAACACAGTTTTTAGGGAAAACAAAGTCTTGCCTAGCAATAAATCATAAATAATTTCCCCTGGGACTATTTGGTAAACTTTACTTTGGAAACTGCATAATCTCAAATTCAATAGTCAATTTCATATAATTTCTTAGTTTGGCCACTTAATAAAATAAGAGAGCATAAGATTACTGGAAACAGGCAGCCTATTTGTTGTCTGAATCATATAGGACAGGCATTCAACTCAACCACTTTTATCACTTCTATTCTTGGATTATGTTCCCTAAAATTTTACTTCTCCCTCAAAGTTGGGCTTTTTGTAGGTGCAATTCAGATATCAGCCCTCTGAAGAATCTCTGCTACATCTAGCCTTATGGAACATAGGAAAAGAAGAAACAACATACATATAAAAAAAGGTCCCCAAAGAAGAAAACCAAAACAATAAAATGAGATATTTAAAAAATCTATAATTAAAGACAAACTTTCCTAAAATTAAGGAGATACATAAATATACATGTGTTTATAAATATTCTGGAAGTACATGTTGAAAAGGCACACTATATACCAGGGAAAATAGGCTGAGAACACTGAGAAAAATCTAATAAAATTATTGGTTATTCAAGAAAGTGAGTAAATTCTTTTGACACCTGGACAAAACGTCTAAGTCACTTACAAATGAAAGAAAATTGTTAACAGTTTTCAACAGCAAAATTTTATGTCTTCTGGGGTGAACCAAAAAAGAAAATCTGAGCCAAGATTTTTTTTATATTCAGATAAACTGTTTTCCAAGTATAAACTCTTTTCAATATCTCATGAGTTATTCCTAAGATATCTACTAGAGAATAACCTTCAGACAACTAAAATGACTGGAGATATATCAATTTTAGGACTGGTGGTGAGCATTAGTATATAGTTAATTGTAGCTCTATGAATAAATGATAGCAATAAAGAAAGAAATATAGTACATAATGTACCAATCCTAATGTTGACATCTTCCCCAAGGGTACAGAGTGAATGGAATGAAGGAACAGGGATGGAAGATAGATTGCTTGGAATATATTTTGCTTTATAGAATTGACTTTGAAACCATGTAAGCATCTGATATAATAAAAAAATTTAATCTCAAAAATCGGAATTAAAATGAGATCAATGAATGAGATCTAAATGGGTAACTAGTTGCTGGCATAATCACATGGAAACTAATCGAAGTAACTTTGAAAAATAGTTTTTGACTATACATCCCTAATAGTATATGCCTTAAGGACAAAAATTGCTGGAAAAAATTTAAACAGTTTTCAGTGATCATATTGTAGGTGGTAGTGATGGTATTGCAATTCAAAAAATGCTGTGTGTATAAAGTATAATTCTGTGATATTATAATTCTATTATCCAGTGTCCTTCACAAGCAAGATTGGTGGCAAGTGAGAAAGAAAAAACAGATACCAGAAAGGAGAAATTAAGTAAAGACCTTTTAGTCCTGAATTTGAAGTATCAATATAAATCAGTGATGTTTTCTGCTTGAAAAAAACTATTTTCTAATTTTTTCAACTGAAAAGTCCCATAAATACTGAGGCACCCAGTAGCAATGAGTACCTCCAGCACCTAGAATTTAGTATTGAAATCTAATTTCCTTCTGAAAGGATCCAGAGCTCCTTGGAGAAATGGCTAATTCCAGGTCTGGGATAAGAAATATACAGATCATATTGGAAATCTTGTCACATCACATAATAAGGAAGCTATCAAAGATTACTAGATTTGTGTCAAAGATTTGGGAATCAACTTGCAGAGGCTGTCAAAGATGAGACAATATGAAGATCAATGAGGGAAAAAACCTTCAAAAGATTGAAATATATCAAATAAGTTTAAATCCATGAGTTCATAATGATACTTAAAAAAAACTGGTCAGCAATTGGAAGACACTAGTGAGCCAATTCATTATTTTGAAAACTTACAAACAAAGAACCACTCAGTAATGAAATAGAAGAGTAAGATTTTCTTTATTGTGGCATTTTAGCAAATATATGAAAAATAAATGATAGAATTGGAATATCACTCTCTTGTAACCCAAAATGAATTAATGGATCTAGGCATAGAGTTACTGCTAATATCAAAAAGAGAAAGATAACCAGATATTAGGAGTCTCCTGATAGAGGATCAAAGCACCTCCTAAAAAAAAGAGTCTTTTCAGAAAATCAAGCCTGACTCTGTCAATCCTCCAGATTCAATTACTAATTTATAAAAAAATTCAGAGGAAAGAGGAACACGTTAAACTATACTATGGGGTTGTAATCAGCAAAATCCTATAGGACAAATAATCAAGTTTCTTTAGCAAATAAATTACAAAGAGGAAAAAAAAAGATGGAGGGGGAAACCAATAGGTGAAAAGAAACTTAAAAGGAATATATTAACCAATCATTACATGTGGGCCTTGTTTGGATCCTGATTCAAACTAGAAAAATTTGTGACATTGAAGGGATAATTGGAAATTTGAACTCTGACTGAATATTTGATGATATCCAGGAATTATTAATTTTTAAAAATATAATAATGATATTGTGTTATATAAAAAGAACAAAAGTCCTTTTCATTTAGAGTTACATACTAAAATGTTTGTTCATAAAATAAAATGTTGTCTGGAATTTGCCACAGAATCATTTGGGAAGGTGGATATGGGCAAGGATATTTCGTTGAAGCTGGAAAACGGCACATAGGGAGTTTATTAAATTGTTCCCTATATTTTGGGGGGAAATATTCAAAAATAAAACATTTAAAACAAAAACATGAATTTGGTAGCTTTGCCCGCATGGCATTGTCATGCCCTGAAGGCACTTGAAATATTTGCAATTATCTCTGTTAAGGAGTTATTTCTTTTCCCCTGTGTCTGAGAAAAGCAGCCAGTGCTGCATGTGAGACCAGTGAGGGTTAAAGAGCACAAGCAGCTGATACATCTGGGGAGCATTAACTATATTAAGGACAAGCCAGAATGAAAAGGTAACCGGAAGAAGCAGCTGAGTACTCTCTGGTCAAGCCTTGAGGTCATCTGAATTAAGGGACTGCGGTTTACAGTCTAGCATAGGACATTTATCATTTCAGCACTTTGCTTCAAACCCCGGCACAAGAGTTCCTTTGGTTTGGAGTTGGATCAAAACCAAGTAGAAGACTTTTTCATTCTCAATAAGCAATTTTAAATGTTCTGTATCACAATACCTTTCAGGAAAGAATAGACAGGATTTATAGTATAGTA